GAGAGTGAATGAACCCCCCGTCTGTCTGCACTGCTGTTGTATCAAAGCCTCAAATCTTCAGAACTTTACTGGAGAAGGAAGAGAGTCACCTTTAAAGTGTGTTAATTAATGATTGAATCATTTAGGAGCGTTTCTATTGATTCGTTTATCATAAAGTGTTTACACTGTGTAGCAGCTGGAGCTTTCAGGTGGTCGTCAAAGCATTATTGACCTATACATATTTATCATACTTAAAGTGAGTTTAGTAGAAACTGTTTTATTACAGTTTTATTTAAAGACATATTCATAGTAAATGATAGCTCTTCATAGCTTCATAGCTCTTCTCTAGTTTTATATTATTTTGTGTAATGTTATTATATTTACTTAATCATTTATTTTATCATCTATTTCATAATTTTATGGGACTATTTTTATTTTTATTTATAACGTTTTTTTGCTGTATGTTTTTATTTTCTGAAACTTGTCTTCTTCTTACGTTTTATGTAAAGCACTTTGAGCTGCATCTCGATGTATGAAAGGTGCTGTATAAATAAAGGTTATTATTATTTTAAATTGATGCTGTTCAAAGCATCTCCAAAATGGTAAGTTTACAGGAGAGGGTTTACACAGAGGTTTACACAGACGTTTACACAGAGGTTTAGACAGGTTTACACAGAGGTTTAGACAGGTTTACACAGAGGTTTACACAGAGGTTTACACAGAGGTTTACACAGACGTTTACATAGAGGTTTAGACAGGTTTACACAGAGGTTTAGACAGGTTTACACAGAGGTTTAGACAGGTTTACACAGAGGTTTACACAGAGGTTTAGACAGGTTTACACAGAGGTTTAGACAGGTTTACACAGAGGTTTACACAGAGGTTTAGACAGGTTTACACAGAGGTTTACACAGGTTTACACAGAGGTTTACACAGAGGTTTACACAGAGGTTTACACAGACGTTTACACAGAGGTTTAGACAGGTTTACACAGAGGTTTAGACAGGTTTACACAGAGGTTTACACAGAGGTTTACACAGAGGTTTAGACAGGTTTACACAGAGGTTTAGACAGGTTTACACAGAGGTTTACACAGAGGTTTAGACAGGTTTACACAGAGGTTTACACAGATGTTTAGACAGGTTTACACAGAGGTTTAGACAGAGGTTTACACAGAGGTTTAGACAGAGGGTTACACAGAGGTTTAGACAGGTTTACACAGTTTACACAGAGGTTTACACAGAGGGTTTAGACAGAGGTTTACACAGAGGTTTACACAGAGGTTTACACAGAGGTTTACACAGAGGGTTTACACAGAGGTTTACACAGAGGTTTAGACAGAGGGTTACACAGAGGTTTACACAGAGGTTTAGACAGGTTTACACAGAGGTTTACACAGAGGTTTACACAGATGTTTAGACAGGTTTACACAGAGGTTTAGACAGAGGTTTACACAGAGGTTTACACAGAGGTTTAGACAGAGGTTTACACAGAGGTGTACACAGAGGTGTACACAGAGGTTTACACAGAGGTTTAGACAGAGGTTTACACAGGTTTACACAGAGGTTTAGACAGAGGGTTACACAGAGGTTTACACAGAGGTTTAGACAGAGGGTTACACAGGTTTACACAGAGGTTTACACAGAGGTTTAGACAGGTTTACACAGAGGGTTTACACAGAGGTTTACACAGAGGTTTAGACAGAGGTTTACACAGAGGTTTAGACAGAGGTTTACACAGAGGTTTACACAGAGGTTTAGACAGAGGTTTACACAGAGGTTTAGACAGAGGGTTACACAGAGGTTTAGACAGAGGGTTACACAGGTTTACACAGAGGTTTACACAGAGGTTTAGACAGGTTTACACAGAGGGTTTACACAGAGGTTTACACAGAGGTTTACACAGAGGTTTAGACAGAGGGTTACACAGAGGTTTACACAGAGGTTTACACAGAGGTTTACACAGAGGGTTACACAGAGGTTTACACAGAGGTTTACACAGAGGTTTACACAGAGCTGCTGAGCTCAAATTATGTAGAAAAAAGAAAAAAATGACAGAAATGGAGATGAATGTTCTTCTTTAGACAGTGATGAAATAATAGCTCTATTCTATTTTATATTAGATTTATCAGTTTAATCATTGTTGTTATGATTATTATGAATGTAGTGTGATATTATATGGTTATTGTGTGTACAGTGTAAAATACGATGATATAAATATCAGTCGTGTGGGACGCGAGGCTTTAGACGCTGAGTGCTAATACAGGCGCTAACAGGAAGTGTGGTTACTAATGCAGGTTAATGTGTGTGTGGTGAGGCTGCACTAATGGAGCCGTTTAGTTATCGGATGGTTTGGTGTGATTTTATCACTGAAATGGACCCATCATAAACAAAAACGTTCAGATAGAAAATTCTCATCTGCTCCTCTTTCAGGGCTCAGTTTAATCATTTTCACTGTTAAATTCTAGTTTTAGAATAATAATGAATACAGCACATAAATATTTATACAGCACGTTTCATACACAAAGGCAAGTCAGTACTTTAAACAAATAAAATAAATAAAAACAAAAGGAACATCAAAAAGAAAAAAATAAAGACAAAGTGCTTAATAGTGAAAAACTAAAAAAACCAAATATTTAATAATAAAACTTATGGCTTATTATTTAATAATAAAGCTTCTGGCTTAAAAATATAAAATGAAATATAAAATTAAAGGGTAATGATAAAAAAAAACAAATAGTATAAAATAAGATAAAAAAATAAAAATAAGAAAATAAAAACATTAAAAACAAGTGCAGTACTGAACAAAGGCACAAGAAAACAAGAACATCTGTAAACTGGACTTGATGGCGGCACTCAGAGCAAATCTGACCTCATCTGGGAGTTTGTTCCAGCAGTTATCATAATGACTGAGTGCTGCCCCACCCTGTTTGTTCTGATTCAGGGCTGTACTAACTGACCGGCCTCCACTGATTCCTAGGAAATAATGTTTGGGTAGTGTACAGTGGTGTTTGGATGGTTAAAGATATTTGAGTCAGGTGTGTAGTGGTGTTTGGATGGTTAAAGGTGTTTGAGTCAGGTGTGTGGTGGTGTTTGGATGGTTAAAGGTGTTTCAGTCAGGTGTGTGGTGGTATTTGGATGGTCAAAGGTGTTTGATTCAGGTGTGGTGGTGTTTGGATGGTTAAAGATATGTCAGTCAGGTGTGTGCGGTGGTATTTGGATGGTTAGAGGGGTTTGAGTCAGGTATGTGGTGGTGTTTGGATGGTTAAAGGTGTTTGAGTCAGGTGTGTGGTGGTGTTTGAATGGTTAAAGGTGTTTGAGTCAGGT